TGGTGAGTCCCTACATAGCCCAACACATTGAGGTTCCAACCATGATAGCATGGAACTCACACCAGCAGCATGGCTCTCAAAGGCCCTGGGTAAGACATGCAAGTTTGCTCTCAGCCCCCTTGTAAGATGTCATGGGAACTACTCTCAAATGTACTGGCTGTCAAGACACAGCCTCCAGATCAGTGAGGAGGAAGCCAGGCTAGCTAGAAGCTTCTTTGTTGACTTAATTTGGTAGACAATGTATTTCCCCTATTCCTGCTTGCTCAGTTGCTGGTTTCAATGTCTACATCTCTGTCATGATCACTGTTCCCTGTGGCTGGGGGTTCTGTGCTCATTCATTCATTCAGAACATGTCAGTGGACTGTACATGCAAAACAGCTCTGAGGACAATTGAGAATGATAATTATTATTTGTTGAACATCAATTATGTGTCGGCTGTGTGGGTGAAGTGACTTTAGTCCCCAAACAACCTGATAGCTTGGCTTTGTCATTTCTGTTTATGGAATCAAGCATAGCCGACCAGTTAACTAGTTAACTAGTCCTGGGTCATACAAGAGAGGCAGGGCAGGGTGTGAAGCCCAGGCCATCTTGGTTCCCAGGCCCACATCCTTCCCATCATATGGCAGTATCCCCTACATTGTCCCTTTGTAGAGGGAGATTACCCATTGGGTAAAATACTACAGGCATGAAAACAGATCATCCTAGTCAAGAATGAAAGAAGTTCCCCCAGAGAGGCAGACACAGGGGCAAAGGAAGCTAGATGAGAAAAGCACACTTGATGGGTGCTCACTGCTGGGGACGAAGCACTGCCTTATGCAGGGACAGCCCTATCAGAGAGTGGATACCATAAGTTGCAAGAGGCTGTGGACAGCAGCACAGGGGATATACATGGCAAGGAGAAGGAACATGTTTTGTCACTCTCACTGGTGTAAGTAAATGAGACTGAGCAGTGTGTCATGTACTGTTTCCCCAAGTTGGACATGACACCACCATCTTGAAGCAAAGCATCCATGATGACCCTCATAAGAACTCAGATCCATTAACTCCCTTGTGGATTGGAGGGAGGGGAGAGGCTAATGAGACCCCTACAAGACCTTCCTGAGGGCCTCTGGAATCTCCCCAGGATTCCTGTCTCACTGTACAGATGTTACACCATGCTGAGGTGGGTTGTCTCAGTGTGTAGCTGCTCCATGTTCCTATAAATAGCCCCAATAAGCTCACTGGTTCACCAGACTGGGCTTGAACAAAGCCTTTCTTTGGCCTGCCAATGTCCTCCCATCTGGATGAGATGTCTCTTTAGGTCTCCTCAGGGAAAGTCCCACAGCATCATGGGATCGGAGAGTTTTGTTACTGGGAGCAGACACCTTCTGAGCTCTCAGAAACATCAGTCTCTCCCTCTGTATTAGTTGGTGACAAAATACCTGATTGGAAGCCACCTGAGGAAGGAAGGATTTATTTGGACTCATGGTTTGTGGGCACACTATCCTGACGGGAAGCTAGGACAGCAGGAGCTGTGCTAGTCATGGCAGCAGGAGCACGAGGCAGCAGCTGTCACACCACACCCACAGTCAAGAAGCAGAGAGATGAGGGTTGGGATTCTCCTTTTTATTTAGTCCAGGACTCCAGCCCATGGATGGTGCCACCCACAGATAAATGAGTCTCTTGCCTTAGTTAAGTCAATCCACACACACACACATACACACAGGCATGCCCACAAGTTTGTTTCCTAGATGGTTCTAAGTCCAGTTCAAATGGTCAGTGAAGCTAACCATAGCACCCCCATCCTGACCTTAGAAATAGGATGTTCTTAGACCTACACCCCAACCCCAGACCCTCTGCCTGTACTCCTGTGCTTGCTCTTCTCTGGAGGAGATGGCAACCAAGCTGAAGCTCCATGAACAAGACAGTGGGCAGGCACCGAAATTCCAGAGAACACAGAGGAATGGGCACATGTGCCCATGGGTGTCTGCATTGCTCAAATCCCAGGATGTTCTTTAGCTGCTGAAGGTTCCCCTCCTCTAGCTGCCTGGCACACCCTTCAGTACCCCTCCCCCAGACAGTTTAGCCCCAGGTTGTCATTCTCATAAAAACATCTCTGGTTAGAGAGGGACTCATGCTATAGCAAGAGCTCCAAACCCAACTAAAGCAAAGCCCCAACAATAGTGCTATCCTTCAGAGCAATTATAGAAAGCAGGAGATATATATCCAGGTCAAACATAGCTACAAATTAGTGAGCAAAAGGGTGGCCCAGTGGTCAGGGTCCAGAGGAACTGCCCTGCACTGGAAAGGAGGGAGGGATGTGCTGGAGGGTGGGGCACATGTGTGTGTGTCTCTGTGTGTGTGTGTGTGTGTGTGTGTGTGTGTGTGTGTGTGTGTGTGTGGTGTCTGTGTGTGTCTGTGTTTGTGTGTGTATTTGTGTGTCTGTGTGTGTGTGAGTGTCTGTGGGGGGGGTGTCTGTGTGTGTGTTTGTTTATTTTTTTTTTTGTGTGTGTGTGTGTGTATGTGTGTGTATTTTTGTGCGCCTGTGTGTGTGTTGGTGTGTCTGTGTTTGTGTGTGTATTTGTGTGTCTGTGTGTGTGTGAGTGTCTGTGTGTGTGGGGGTGTCTGTGTGTGTGTTTGTGTGTCTGTGTTTGTGTGTGTATTTGTGTGTCTGTGTGTGTGTGAGTGTCTGTGTGTGTGGGGGTGTCTGTGTGTGTGTTTGTGTGTCTGTGTTTGTGTGTGTATTTGTGTGTCTGTGTGTGTGTGAGTGTCTGTGTGTGTGGGGGTGTCTGTGTGTGTGTTTGTGTGTCTGTGTGTGTATGTATTTGTGTGTCTGTGTGTGTGTGTGAGTGTCTATGTGTATGTGTCTCTGTGTGTGTGAGTGTCTGTGTGGGTGTCTGTGTGTGGCTGTCTGTGTGTGTGTGTCTGTGTGTGTGTGTGTGTGTGTGTCTGTGTGTGTGAGTGTCTATGTGTGGCTGTCTGTGTTTGTGTCTGTGTTTTTGTGTATGTGTGTGACTGTGTGTGTGTTTGTGTGTCTGTGTGTGTGTCTGTGTGTGACTGTGTGTGTGTTTGTGTGTCTGTGTGTGTGTCTGTGTGTGACTGTGTGTGTGTTTGTGTCTGTGTGTTTGTGTGTCTGTGTGTGTGTGTGTCTGTGTGTGTGTGTTTGTGTGTCTCTGTGTGTGACTGTGTATGTGTGTTTGTGTGTCTGTGTGTGTGACTGTGTATGTGTGTTTGTGTGTGTGTGTCCCTATGGGAGGAGCAAGGAGAGCCTCTTGCTCTTTGTCTCACCCCAGGAGGTGCTTGACAATATCCAGAGGTCTTTTGGATTGTCACAGCTGTGGGTAGAATCCAGGGACGGTGTCGAACATCCTACCATGCACCAATGCCCCCCACTGAAGCGACTCAGCCCAAGATGCCCTTGGTACCAAAGTGAAGATTCCCCATTGTAGGGGAAGGTTCTATCTAGATTTACCATCTGAGCCATGCTAACAAACATCACCCTGGCACCTGTTCTCTGCCAGGCACCTCCTAGGGCTGGCAGAAGGTGATGGTGTGTGGGAGAGGAGACTTAGAGAACCAATAACAGTGTGGGAGAGGATGCTGGGAAGAGAAGGTGCAGAGAGCAAGATACTCAGACCCTGGAGATGTCAGCAAGGACAAAGCTGCGGAGGGAAATTATGATGAGTTCTGTGCATTGAATTAACTTCAAGGTGAAAAGGGGAAGTTTTCCATATTTTGTAATGGAAATATGCATATCAAGAAAGTGAGAGAAAAATTTTCCTGCTAGCAAATTCTAGGCCTGTTTCATGACATGGATGTTACATCTTGAACTTGGAAGAAAATTTCAAAATGCGGTGTTTTTTTTTTTTTTTTGTACAGTGCAAATCCAGCTACTTCTCACCTGTACCCTTAATCGGTGCTGGCAAAAGCATTAAATCCCATTTTCCAAAGAGACATTTGGAAGCAGCTTGTAGTACCACTGAAGCCCTTCTGGGCTTGCTGCCTGGAAAATCTGGAGTTGGCTTAGCCACTTTACTTTTCTACTTAAAAAGAGCAGTTTCACACACCTGAGAGGCAGAGTTATGCCATTAAGGACACTGCCCGCTGGCTTGGCCACTTTACTTTTCTGCTTAAAAAGAGCAGTTCCACACACCTGAAAGGCAGAGTCATGCCATTAAGGACACTGCCCGCTGTGTCTGGAATAGACTGTCCACAGGAGACACCACTACTGCTGCTTTTCTCTGTAGGGGGAAGACCGGGGCAATGAATATTCAAACTTCCACTTTGAAAGCATGCCATGTGATCTGGCTGTGATGATCTCAGGGGTCTGCTTGTACAAGGGTTAAAATACTGTTCTTCCCATGGCTGGATATTTGCAATGCTTGACTTAGAAATACATCCATCAAGAGAGTGTGTGGATCTTCACTCTCCTGTTTGAGACCTATTACATTCGGGACATCCACATTTCAGAGGGTCACATGGAAAGAGCTTCAGTGAGGGTCATTAGGTTCAGTCATCTTCTACCCACACAGGCAACTTTGGGGTTGGCAAACTTGTGGCCAGGTGGCCATTGACATCACTCCAGACACCTAGTGAGAATGGGCCAGGCAAACAGGAGGTGCTCAATGAATTTCACTGGAATAGCAGTTCTGGTATGGGAGCTCTAAGTAAGGTTTGATGTGCTCAATGCTATGCAATTTTCCCCCAGGGTGAGGGGCAGGACTGCAAATAGAAGATAAATAGGACAACTGTCCCAGAGATGGATTTGAACACTGGGCATGCTCCGCTTTTCTGGGGGGAGGGAGGGGTGATCAAGAGACCCAGGTTCTCTCTCAGTCCACTTGATGACCTCAGGAAAGTTGGTGTATGTCTCTGGGCCTCTATCTCCTCATTTTCAAACAGTTTTTGTACAGACTCCATGGGGCCCCTGACAGGTGCATGTCTAAGGTATTGGGGCCCATGTATTCAGGACCAGCATCTAGAGCATCAACATCCTAATCCCTGTCGGTTCTTCTTCACAGCCTTCCAAACATTTCTGGGCAAAGTAGATGTCTCCCAAGAGCTGGAGGAGGCCCTGGCCGAAAGCCGTGTGCAGAGGAACCTCCATCTGCTGTCAGTGCTGGAGCTGCTGAGGGCACCTTTTGTCCGCTGGCAGGTCATCACTGTCGTCATCACCATGGCTAGCTACCAGCTATGTGGACTCAATGCGGTGAGTACACTCCCCCACCCCAACACATACACACCAGCATCAACAGAGAAACCGAGGAAGGCCAGAATGTGGGTGGCTTAGAGTGTGAGCCTGAGATGTCTGACTTCAGCCTCCAGCTCTGTAATGTAAGCCTCCACTGAGGCTGTGCCTTTGAACATCTACAGAACTTGGCAGGTCCTCAGTTCACACCTCCGTAGAATGGGATAGAATGGAGTGGACTTATCCACACAGCCAGCAAGGTTGTCCATCGTATTGCCACCTGTTGTCCTTCTGTGAGTCTCTGGAAATAAAGTATCATGGTTCTAAATAAACAGACAGAAGTCAACGGGACAGAAAACCAAACTGATTCAGATAGAATCAGTCTTGGGGGGTGCCAGCTTCATCTTATCAGAGCCTGAGCTGAGACCTCCCTGGAGACCCAGGCCTCTAGCTCTCTGCAATGTTCCAGGAGGCAAAATCTCCAAGTCCAAGAAGTGAGGAAGCTGAGTGTAATTGCTTCTGGGGAACCCACTCTGTCCACTAAGGATGCAGACAGGCTTCCAGGCACACAGCACTGAGATCATCAAACAGAGGGAGGGAAGGGTACTGGGGAGGGCCCCCAAAGAGCCCAGATGATGGAGCACAGCATTTATACCTGTTCAAGAAGAGTGTGGTTCTGCTGTGGTGCGTGGAGGGAGTGGCAGCAAGCCTCCTATCCAGAAAAGGGGACATGACTACCTGGGAAGATAGCAGTCACACATTTTGCCTAATTTCAAAATCTCCAGATTCTATTTTCAGGAACTCTGGTGTAAAATGAGATCACTTTGTTTTCTAGTCATTTTTTTTTTTTTTGCCTTTTTGCCTTTTTGCCTTTTTGCCTTGGTCTGGTTAATTGAGAAGAGCAATGTGGACTGGGGAGTTAAGAGCTCAGCCTAGGCCCAGAGTGGCCACTGCCCGTTCTGCCATTTTTCTTTGCCCAGACAAGTTCAAGGTCAGGTGTATCAGACCCTCCTTGTTAGATGGAGAGCCAAGTCATTGTTGGGCAGACCCTTCTCATTCACCAGGACTTAATTTCCCATCTGCATATCCTGTGATGGATGAATTCTGCCAGTGTCTTCAAGCCCCACTGCACAGAGGTGTGCCAGAAAAATCTATCTGGTAGGCAGCAGGTTGGAGACTGTTTCCACTTTCCTGGCTCATATGCTTTCCTTGACACAGGACAAAGCTTTGGACTAAGTCAGAGGCCTGGCTTCCCACCTACCTGTCACCATGTACCTATAGCAAGAAATCTGGACCATCTGCTCACCCTGGCCCGACTCTACGAGTTTGGCTGCAGTCCTGATAGAGTACACACATTAGCACCTTCTGGGGCCAGGAGATGTCCTTCGGGTCCCACGGTTAAGCACAGAGACACTGAGATATTTTTCCAAAGGTTCATAGCTAGTAGTAGTAGTAGAAAGGAGTTTTGAGAACCAATTGTCTAAATCCCAAGTTCTAGGTACTTATGCCCCAAGAAGTAAGGGCAAGTAGGTTCTACCCAGCAGGGATGAAGCATAGGTGAGCATCCGAAAGATGTTTAATAAATGAGCAAGCCTTTTCCTCCTAGGCCTCTAAACAGAGCCACAGATCACTGTCTGTGGAAAGAATCCATCCCTGGGAAAAGCATAATATAAATGAATTACATCTCTCCAGTGTATCTTTTTCTTGTCACTGCTGGACAAAACAAATCACAGCACCAACAACCAGAGGCTTCAAACCACTTGTCATTGTACAGCTTACAAAGTCAGAGGTCCTCAAATCAAATCAGGCCACACCAGGAGAAAATCCATTCCTCTGTTTTCCCAGCTTTCTAGGAGCTGCTTCCTTTCCTTGGCTTGTGGCCTCCTTTCTTCATCTTCAGAGTCAGAAGCAATACAGTCTATTTGACTTTCTCTCCCTTCCTCTCTCCCACCCCTACATCTCTGACCAATTCTGCCTCCCATGTCCCCTCTATTTAAAGAATGATGGCATCTGCAGCTCTCAGGCAATCCAGAAAAATCTGCTGTTTCAAGGGCCTGACAATGTTTGGAGTCAGATTTTCCATGTGAACTAAGATTCCTAGACCATGGTTCTGACCATTATGTTCAACAAACACAACCAGGTCAGCATTGTCTTGCTCCTGATGCTGTAATTTGAATGTGACTGTTCCCCACAGGGTCATGTATTAGGGCACATGGTCCCCAAATAGTAGTGCTGGTCGGAGATACTAAGGACAGGTTAGAAGATGTTGATGAGTTGGAGGAAGTGTGTCCCCATGGGGACAGGACTCAGGGGTCATAGCTCAGGTTCCTATTTGCTCCTTTCTTCTTGGTCTGTGACACTGTGAGAAGTCTCCCCTCCATGAATCCCACCATGACAGACTGTACCCTCCCAAACCATGAGACCAAATAAAACAAAAACCATCCACTTAAGTTACTTCTTGTCAGCCTGGTCCCCACCAGAAAAGTCACTAATACACATACATTGGCAAAGAAAGTCAGACCACATCTCTTAGCCCATGGCCACTGTGTATACAGCCAAGAGCAGATATAGGAGCCATAGGTGACAGTAGAGGGATCTGAATCATGGTACATACTTCAAGGAGAGTGGGTTCCCAGCAGGCACCTCTCCGCTCCAGTGTCATTGTGTGGGGTATGGCTCTTGCTTTCTCCTCAGTCCTCTCACAGCTGTGAAGGTCAAGAATGATTGCGTAACATACTGCCTCATCAACCACTGCCCCAGGAGCTAAGAGTGAGGCATTTGGGACATTGAAATGGAGATTCAGAAAGTCACCCATCCTGCCCCTGTTGGGGCTCCTCATGGATCCATCCCCAAGGAGGATGGCCTCACAGATGCCTCCTTCCCAGACTGACAACGTAAGGTCTTTTTATCCATAGAGTCTGCACATCTCCATGGAGAGAAGGAACCATCTAGAAGGTGCCTATTGTTTCTTATATGAAGGCTTTTCCTGGATGCTTCCGTATCTTAGAAACACTGCAGTAGGGAACCTGGGACAACCTGCAAAATGGGAAGTGAGTGTAGTTGCTCATGCTGACTTGGTGAGATGGGGGCATCCCTGCCTCCATGGCTCTGTGACTCTGAGTGTTCCAGGTGCTTCCTCTCTCATGTCACAAGGGCCTGAAACTGTCAGATTATATCACCTTCAGTTTACACAGAGGTCAAAGAAAAGGCAGTCACCCCTTCCTTGAAATGAAGTGTGGGGGCAGGGTGCTATATGAATCAGGCAGAATGGGACAGGCTGGCCAGGCAGACCCCACAGGCTCCAGGCTCCTGTCTACCGGTGTCTAGATGCATTCAGTGAGATGGCTCATCCCTCTTCACGGCCACACTACAATGAATATAGAATGTCATGCCCAGTAACTCTCAACACTGACTTTCAACCTGCTGAGGGTGTCTACAGCTGAGCCACTGCAGAGGGAACAGAAACTGGAGAAGAGGGGTGGTGAAAGCCAGAGGAGCAGGTGGGAGATTCTGATGCCATGGGGCTGGAGAATAGCTTCTACAGGAAAATATATATCGAGTGTGGGTGGGGGCTGGAAGCTGTCTCTCTGTGAGTGGAAGACAGAGACCACAGTGGCACTAAAAACCAGTGAGTTGCAGTGACAATAAATAATACTCTTAACCAAGTCTGTGATCCAGCTGTGACTAGGTCTGGGTGACCATGGCTACCCAAAGGGTGGGGTGGAGGGAGCCTGTATGACAAATCCAGGAATACTGAGGGTTTGGAATGATAGCCTCAGGCACATAGGAACTGGTGAGCTAGTGAGAGTCTGTAAATTTGCAAGGAGGCCACAAGCCTCCTTGCAAATTTGGTAGCCAAGGTTCATACCCATAGAAGTCCTACTTCTCCACCAATTCAAATATAAGGCAGATAGCACAGGGCAGTGGCTCCTCACTTCATGTGAACATTAAAACCCATCTCTGCCAATTGATGCCAAGGGTCAGGACAGTAACTCATTTGAATTGTGTCTCTGGGTGTTCAGGAGACCCTATGAAGAATTACCTGTCACTGCAAAGCTAATCAACTGTTGGATACAAGTCAGTCCTGATTCTCCCAGACATGGGAGAAGGAATAGCCTCTCAAACAACTGTTTGTAACAAGATAGATTAGAAACTAGGGCTTTTCCTCACACAAGCATCCAAGCAACATAGCCAGTGTTGTGCCTGAGCTGTGGGCATCTGTGGCTCTGCCAAGAGCTGCCACTGTCCCAGTGTTTCTATAAGTGAGGGGGCCCAGTGAAGCAACTGCCAACAACTGCTCCATGATATGATTAAAGTTTTTTTTTTTATTGTAGATTTGAAAGAGAGAACAGCTAGAGGCATCTGGAAGAGTCCAGAGCAGAGGGAGAAAGAAGTAGACTGGACATGGCCAGGGCTAGGGTAGAAAGAGAGTGGGAGAGAATAGTGGAGATAGCAGGATAGCAAGAGATAGAGAAGGAGAGAGAGAGAGAGAGAGAGAGAGAGAGAGAGAGAGGGAGAGAGGAGCATAGTGAGAGTATCTGGGTTATAAGGAGGATGAGTAGCTGGGGATATGGAAGTCTGTGAGCTGGAGAAAGTTAAGGGTAGAGGAGGAGATGAAAAGGACAGGGTGCTAGCATGGGCTTTGAAATGTGTAACATGTCCTTGTGAAACTCAGGGAGCCAGGAGGCCAGCATGAGCTTTGATATGCTGATAGGTGCCACAGGTAGCCATGTGTCCCTTCTGCCAGAGGTAAGGGAAATGACTCCTTTTGATAGATGGGAACCAGTCTCACAAGCTCCTCAGGAATGCTACCCTTTCTCTAACAGCCAGAGACCCTCCTATAGTCCAGGTTGGGCTCATTTCTGTATATTTGGACTGCCTTTGGGGGTTTGGGGACCAGTTTCCTTTGGACCCAACTGTACATGTACAGTTACACGGACCTCAGGAGTATCATTTGTACTGTATGCACTATTGTAGAGTCATCACAGCAGTTTCTAGTGGGTGATGGTAAAATGTTCTGTGGAGCAGAAACAGTTTTTGATTCTCAAAAAAGTATGCTTATCCAAGGATAATTAATGACCCAAGAGGGCTACTGAGGCTCCTGCTATCACATCCACCACCCTTGACCACAGAAATAAAATCAAATAAACTTGAGAGCATCCCTCTTTGGTAAAGTTTCTTTAAAAGAAGAGGAGGAAGGGTGCAAGAGAGGAGGGCGGCCAGTGAGATGGTTCATCCAGTAAAGGTTCTTGCTACCAAATCTGGCCTGTATTCAGTCCCTGAGCTCCCATGGTGGAAAGAGAGAACTGACTCCTACAACTTCTTTTCTGACCTCCCCTACACACACACACACACACACACACACACACACACACACACACACACAGGTACACATGCACTTCACCACTCCCACAGTAAATAAATAAATGTAAAAATAAAGTAAAATAAGAAGCCTCCTGCCAGTTCTCACCAATATTTATGTTGCTACCCTCCTAACTTCTGGGCAGTCTAGGAAGCAGTGTCTTGGATGGGCAGACATCACTCCCAGGAACACAGGGGTCTGTTAGAGAAGAAGGGAGGGAGCCATGTGGCCATATGGCACAGCTCACCTGTGAGTCTGAACTAAGTGGCGCTGTGCAGAGAGATCTCACACCTTAGTCTAACTAGGGGAGGAGGCTGAGGTCTCTGAATGACCTTTCTGTTCTTTTCTGCATTACAGATCTGGTTCTACACCAATAGCATCTTTGGGAAAGCTGGGATCTCTCGAGACAAGATCCCATACATCACCTTGAGCACTGGTGGAATTGAGACTCTAGCTGCCATCTTCTCTGTAAGTCACCAAGGGCTCCCAACAATGCCTCAGGGGCAAAATGGCACACAGGCACCCAGGGAAACTAACAGGGCTTGCTTCATGAGGGTGGGCCTTGTCAGGAGATCCTGTCTGGATTTGGGAGAGGCTCAGGCTCCATGAACCTCCACCCATCTAGGCTCTTCCTCTCTGTATCTCCATTCCTTGTGTCTCCAGTGAAAACAAACCAAATCCTAGTCTGGCTGTGTGATGTTGGACAGTGTGTTCAACTTCCCTGAGCCTTGGCTTCTTCTCTCTTGAAGAAGTGCTCAAGTCTGTCTTCCCATGGCAGTGTGGTGTGTGCTTCATTCTATAGACACACAGTACCCCTGGGGTTCTTCAGACATGAAAGAGGGATGGACTGACATTGCTGACATGGCAGAGTGTGTGTTCTGACCTTGAAAGATGCTCCGGTGTTCAGTCTCCCCTGCTGATCTCCACTGACAAGGATGATGTCAGCACATTCGGGACGATTCCAAATCCCACTGCTGACTTTTCAGTAGATTCAATTTTTCTTCTTGCCTTCTCGGATCATTCTAACAAGCTACTTCTTAAAAATGGGTACCATTAAGAATGTAGACGAGTGATGTTTGGACTCTTCTCTGATCTGCTTTTTGTTAGAGAGAAAACATTCTAATGCTTTGCCACCCGTGAGCATTACTAAACCCCCATCTCCAGCTGTAGGCTGCAAAATCCCACTAGTAATTCTGACTTTGATCAATAGAACTCAGTTAGCCTGGGGTGGAAATGGCAGAGCAAGCAGAAGAGGTTTGGAGTTTGGGTTTATGTTTTGGTTTGGGTTTTGTTGCAATAAGAAACCAATACCACCTTATTGGATACATTTGTAAAAATCCAGGAAAACTTAAAAGAATGAAGAGATTCCCTCCAATCGGGCTGCTCATCTCTACTCTGTCCAGCATTGCTCTGTTCCTAGGAGGCAGTGAACCAGCCAGGGTCCTGCTTGTCCCCTGTCATCCCCCCCCCCCCCCCCCCCCCCCCGCCACTATTGATCTGCTGGCTTTAATGGAGTGCAGCAAGTAGCCAGCAAAGAGCCTATATGAGAATTAGCTCTGGTGATAAAGGCTCTATCAGCTCTCAAAGCCCATGATCCATTCCCTGTCTCAGCCTCCTCCTACAGGGTGGGGTTGTTGGAATCTCTTCTCAGAACATGGTGGTCTGGGTTCCCATGCCAGCTCTGCTTCTCCTGAGACAGAAGACTCTCTAAGCAAGATGTTTGACATCTATGTGGTTCTCTTTTCCCATTTATATAAGGACATGTTCCTGCCTCACACACAAGAGCTGGGGAGTAAACACATGTCACTAAGTGACTGGCAGTGCTGGAATAAGTCACACCCTGTCACCTGAAGTGAGGCTATGGTACATGTCCTTGTGTCCTTGTATAGAAGAACATAGCAGGAACTCTCTCTCTCTCTCTCTCTCTCTCTCTCTCTCTCTCTCTCTGTGTGTGTGTGTGTGTGTGTGTGTGTGTGTGTGTGTGTGCATTTATAAAGTTAGCTTTTAACCATTTGCCATCTGTGGCTGGAAAAATTAGATCCACAGATCCAAAGATCCAAAGATCCAAAGGTCTGAAGTCATAGGTCATGAGATTGTGTCAGAGGGGACTTCACAGGTCAGAGGGGACCTTGAGCTGTGGAGGTTCCTTGGCTTATCTGGGCAGCCAATGAACCTTTGAAGTGACCAAAGGTCAATGAACAGCCTGTGAGGTCAGGATGTGAGGTGAAAGAGACACCATGGTTGCCTGGTCTGGAAGATGAGGAAGGAGTGGGGGTGTAGAACCGGTGAGGCTTCTCGGAACTGGAAGAGTCAAAGGCCTTTCCTCCCCAGTCTCCCCTGTGAGTTTTGTCCTGAGAGACCTGCTCTGGACCTGTGGCTGCCCAAACCGTAAACTGCTACTTGTTAAAGTAATGACAAGATACTTTAACTCTGCAAGCAAGGGTTGTCATGGAAACAAAAATCAAAGCCTATGGCAGCCCCTACTCCTCCCCCAAACTCAACATTCAGCAAGTCCTCTGCTCTTTCCAAAGTTTGTGTAATCTGCTTTTCAGGGCCACTCAGACTTCGTCCAAGCCCTCAAGGTAATTTCCTGTCAATAAAAGGGCTCCCTGATTATTTTTTCACTCTCTTTACTGAGGTTTTTGACACTGTATAAAATGGCTCTGAGGTGTAATAAAACCGAGATGGAAAGACTCTGTTCTTTTGATCTGTGGTTAATTTGGGCAGCGGCCATCACTCAGCAGCTTGCTGGCTGTAAATAATTGCCATCTTGCAGAACAGCTGGTTTTTCCAGGCTGTTTTTTTTTTGGGGGGGGGCTTCAACTGTGCTGTTCAGATGAGTGAATTTCCATGAAGTGTCATTCGCCCATGAGGATGACCATCTATTGAGGTGTGGACAGAGCCGACTCTACCTCAGGTAGGAGGCACAGACTCTGCTTTTATTATTTTTTATTACTTTTTCATTATTATTAGAAAGAAAATTATTTTACATGTCAATCCCAGGTCCCTCTCCCTCCTCTCCTCCCCTGCCCCCCTAACTTACGCCCTATCCATCCCATACCCTTTCTGCTCCTCAGGGAGGATGAGGCCTTCCATTGGGGGGGGGAATCCTCTGCTTTTAAAAAGCCAGGGTCAGGATCCACAGCAGTGTGGTCTTGCTTGTGGCAGTGCAGTTTGGGACTATGCTATGTTGAACTAAACACAAATCTTTAAGGGTTTCCAAACTTCCCAGGGTTCCTGAAATTTCAATGTCACTGTCTGCATTCTCTGTAACCATAGTGTGAGATACTGGATCTAATGTGTACAGAGCATAAATGTGAGGGTGACAGGGCACAACAGGGGTTTATTTGGGCTCAGTGGTCTCCTGTCCATGTTGCTGGTCACAACCTGGGTAGCTTTGAGTCCAGATGCCCAGGTTTTTTGACCCCCACTTTCTTCTTTGGGAGTAATAGTGGTCATCCTAACAGCTTAATGGAGACTCAGTGACTTGTCACTTGTGACATGACTCCCTAAAACTCACCTGCTGGAATCCCCAGTCCCTCCCAATGTGACCTCATTTGGAGAGAGGTCATTGCGGGTATTGTTAGTTAAGCTAGGATTGGATATACGGGATTGGGTTGAGCCCACAAATTCATTATGTCTTTACAAAAAGGGAAATTTTGGACACAGACCACCACATGGATACTTGAGTCTTGGTGTTAAAAGAAAAAGACACCAGAATGCAGGAGAAGGCCAAGGAAGATCTCAGAGGATAGGAGAGGGTTTGAGGCAGACCCTCAGGAGGCAGGGTTGTGGCTGAGGCAGACCCTTGGAAGGCAGGAGTAGAACTGAGGCAGACCCTCAGGAGGCAGGGCTGGGGCTGGGGCAGATACTCAGAGGGCAGGGGTGAGGCTGGGGTAGACCCTCAGAAGACAGGGTGGGGCTCCCCTGCACCCACACAGGGAATAAATAAATAGCCTTTGCCGGAACCTTGATCTTGAATTTGCACCTGAAAAAGTAAGGAACATCCTGCTATCTGAGCTCTTCTGTCTGTAGTGTACCTATTACTGCTACTGTGGAAACTAATGCAATCGCTGTTGGTTATTTGAGACTGAGTCGGAGTCCACAGAACAAAGTGTAGAGGAGCTCAGCAGGGGAGACACTCCATCAGGTAAAAACAGAACCAGCCATCTTTGTTGGCCCCACCCCACTCACTTCGGGTGTCAGCGGCTGCCAGCAATCTCCTCTGAGCTGGACAGTTCTGAGAATTAGAACTAGACAAGATGCTTAGCGCTTGCAAATCTGACTGCTTCAGAGACTGCCTTGCCCTATGAGAGTTCATCCCTGCATGAAGGTGAGATGTTGGTCTTAGTAGCTACTCTGCTCTCTGCCCGTTCCAAGCTGAGTCTTTCCCAATTCTGATTCCCAGGCTCTGACTCTTGCCTGGATGATGAGATGCTTGAGGAATGTTGCACTCAGTGCCCCCAGAAGCCTCGGGGAAGTACTGTGGGGTTAATATCCCAGTTGGGCCTAAGTGTCTGCTTTTGCATTTTAGTTGAAATCTCTCAAGCCTGCTTTAGTTTATTCCTCTTAGAGACCACGCCCCCACCCACCCTGGGAGTGACATCAGTGAAGAGGTGATGCCTTGTCACTCACACTTTTGCTGTAGATGCATAAATGGTCATAAAGAAGAAAGGTTTACAAAACTGGGATAAGCAGAGATTTCTTAGATTAGGTGCACAATCATGAACCATTTTTTAAATTAATAAATTGGATTTCATCAGAAATTTAAATTTCCACTATTTAAAAGACATTGCTGAGAAAATGAAAAAGGCGAGCCACAGGCTGGACTGTATAAATCTGACAGGGAGTTTGTGTCCTGAATATGTAAAGTACCCTGGGAACTCAAGAAGAACTGCATTCTGAAAGTATTTGAACAGATCTTTACCAAGGAAAATTCTCAAAGGCCAAAAAGCACAGGAAAAAGTTCTCATACTACCAAGGAAGGTAATATGCACAATAAGATCCTGTCATTCACCACAAGGACAGACAAAATTTAAATTCTGATAATTCCAAGTGTTTCCAAGGAAAGGGAGCAACAGGAACTCTCACACTGCTGGTAGAGTTGAAAGTCATATTATCCCTTCAGACAATGTTTCTGACAGCCAGTCAGTCACCATCCCACTCACAAGTATTTACCCAAGAGAAACAACACCCATGTCTACATAGAGACTCATGCTGGTGTTCATAACAGCTTTGTGTATGAGACACCAAATCCAGAAGCAACCCCACGTCCATCAACAGGTGTTCGAAGAAACCAGTTGTGGTATATCCACCCAGTAGAATATTGCTCAGCCATGAAAAAGAATTACTTATGTGTATCACAAACAAGATAGATCTCAAAAACCCTACAAAGATCTGTGTGGAATTCTAAAACTGGTGACTCTAAAGCCGGTGCTAGAAAGTAGATCAGGGCTGCCTGGGGCTGAGAGAGGGACATAGACATTTGGTGGTAGTGGGCATTTTCTGTATCTCATTTGCAGTTATGGTAATAGATAATAATGTAAATTTGTGGAGAATATGTTAGGTTGCAGGATTAAAATGAGGACACATCATTGAACAAAACTCAGTAAAGTTGATTTTTAAAATCCTAAACAGAAACATGTTGCCATCGCTGTCTGCTCAAAGGTCCCAGCACATTGTGGGAGAGACAATGGCTGCAGAGGGGACCTTACAGCTCAGAGGCTCCAGAGGGGCTTCTCAGCACCAGAAGCCTGGCAGTTGTTTCCTGGCTGACATCAGTACCCTTCAAGGGCAGCTGTTCATCTTGAGTTAGTGTCTTCCCTGGCAGCTTTAGTCTGGAGTAGAAATATCCTGTCACCCTAATCCCTTCGGACAGGCTGAGCATAGGGCTTGGAGGAGAGAGCACACTGGTGCCCTGGCCAGGCAGGACCAGGAGCGGGGAGGACTACTTCCTCACTCCAATTTCTCCAAAAACTGTCTCCTCAGGACCTTCCTAAACTTTCCTCTGAGCTCTGTCATTTCCCACGCAGGAGCATGTTCCAACTTCTTCAGTGACCTGGGGGAGAGCATGTCTCCTCCCCAACCAAGGCCCTGAACATCAATGTCATAGTGTAAAATATCAGTTCTCAGCTACCTTGTATTGGAGCACTCACTTTCAATGTTGACACTGTAGTTGGCTCACTTGAGGAACCTTCTCTCACATCCTAGCCCAGGGCCCTGCACTTTGTAATGTTTGAAAACGTGAATATCAATAGCAGTGTGTGTCCATCTCTGTGTGGAATGTAACATGTTGTCACATCTGAGTGTAACACACTTTAATCCCAGACTCACAGCACAAGGCAGGTTTAACCAGAGACTTGTGTGATGATGTGACATGTTAATCTCTGACTGTGATACGCTAACTTCAGCACAGCTGTTACAAGTGTCAGAATCAGCATAGCAATGTAATTTGCTGATCTCACTGTGGCCCAGTCCCCTATGTGATACTGAAGCTTGTCTCTGGTAACCTCTGTGCCAATCTCTGTCACCAGGGACTCTAGCTCAGCAACTCTGAGATACTGAGGAGACAAAGTCCCCCATCCTTCAGCTCTGAGTTTCTGTTAGCCTTGGACCTCTCACAGTTAGTCACAGGAGTGGCTTCTATACATTAGAATTTAGTGACATTTCAAATGGCTGTAGAAATTTGCTAGGCTTGGTTCTGGAAATGACCTGTGATAGGTAGGGCACAGGAAATGCCCGAGAGTGGGGAGGGGTGGGGAGAATAGCTCACTTGGTAAAGAGCTTGCTGTGCAAGCCTGAAGAACTGAGTTCATTCCCCAGGACCCAGATAAAAAGAAGCTAGGTTCAAGCTTAGACCCCAGCTTGCTTAGAACCCCCATCTCTGGGGGTTCATACGTAGCCAGCCTAAAATAACCAGTGATTCCCCCAGAAGAACAGGGGGCCTGTCTCACATTAAAAAGGGGTGGAAAATACCTGAGGAATGACCAAGAGTGGTTTGTTGGCCTCAAAGGCAAGCCCTACACACACACACACACACACACACACACAGAGAGAGAGAGAGAGAGAGAGAGAGAGAGAGAGAGAGAGATCTGGGGCTCAGTGGACAGAATTGCTGTTTTATACAGTAACTCTATTTTCTAGTCTTATCTTTACTTAAAATTATATGCTGAGAATTTCCCAACCTATCCAAAACTAACTGAAAATGTTTTCAGTCCTAGATATTTATGACCCAGATCCTCCAATGTTTATTTTACAACATTGGTCACAGGTCTCACAGACTGAGTCCTCATGAGGAGATAGCATGCAGGTTTTCAGAAGTGCTCTAAAGTGGAGAAGCACCCTTCTGCTTCTGTGTCTTTCTGCTCACTCACTCTGTGCCTTAGTGGGTACATTCCAGGACAGCTCTGGGCCTCTGATCCTGGGCGGTTCTGACCTGCCCTTGTCACTGGGACTCACTCTGTTCCTGATGCTCAGGACCTTGTGGCCCCATTAATGCCTCCCCTTTGATGGGGTCCAGCTTTTGAAGGCTTAGGAACTCTCTCTCTCTCTCTCTCTCTCTCTCCCTCTCCCTCTCCCTCCCCCTTCCTTCCCTCCCCCTCCTGTCTTTCTCCCTCTGCCTTTCTCTCTCCTTATTGCCTCTCTCCACCCTCTTTCCCCACAAAGTTCTGTTCTTCACTTCTTCCATAACCTTCCCTGGCCCACACACCCCTCCACGCCTCCTGTAGAATGAGCTCACTGCCTCTCTCCTCTGTCTTCACGGTACTCCCCGCATATGTGTATGTCCTTCACTGTATATCTGCCTTGCTCACTCCATCAACAAAAAGGGCCCCATGGCAGCCAGGGGTGCTCCTGGATTCTGGGGAAACAAGAGGGTCAGCTGATTGCTCGGTGCTCTACATGTCCAATGATTGGACATGAAGATGGGGCAGTGGGCCGCTGCAAACTGGGGCTCTGCCTGTTTCCTCTTTAGGAAACGTAATATCTTCAGAAACAGAAAAGCTCCTGCAAGCATCCCTGCTTCCCCCCTTATCAGCCACGTGCCTTGAACAACTTCCCAAAGCCCCTTGACTTGTTTTATTTTGTTTTTTTCACCTGTGAAATGAGACAAACAAGGCCCATTTCATGGGGTATTTGTGGGGATTAAACGATTCGTGGTTGAAATGTGCTCAGTGCAGGGCCTGGAACAGTGGGTGCTCAGAAATGATCCCCTGCTCCTGTTGCCTAGACTTATCCCATGGCCACCCAGAAACAAGTTAAGTCATGGAAGGGCTGCCCTTCATGTTCAAGGTCATGGGGCCACTTAGAGGCAGGAGTGAGAACAGTCACCCAGGCCATTCTTAGACTAACAGTCAGTCATGCTGCACTTTCTGCTGTGCTGGGCAGGCTCTGATGTTCCTGAGTTGAGTTCATGCCCAGCATGCCTTTCCTCTCATTTCAGCCACCCTGCAGGGACACTACCATCCACACTTCCCAGGTGGGGAAGTTCAGGCTCAGAGAAGTTCAGCCAATTAGTCATCCATCCTTCATGCAAGGAAGGATGAGAGACAGAGCTAGGACTTGAGTCCCAGTCAGCCCATCTTCAGCCCCTGGATATCTTTGTCACTCTATTCTCTTGCGTCAGGTTCCCAGGAGAAGTGTGGGAGGCCTGGGTCTGCAGGAAAAAGCCTTTTCATCCAGTCAGGGTATCCCTGCCTGCCTCCAATCCCTGACTATGCACTAAAGGCCCCTCCTGTCCTTACAGGCATCGCCATGCCTGGGTGACCTGCCCCCAGGCTAATCCCCGTAGCTGGGTGGTCTGAGCTGTCATCTGGCCTGCAGTGCTGTGTTCTCCAGATGGCAGATGTGCACATGCCCCAGTTCCTAGCACAGGTGTTTTAACTTAGTGTGGGTTTTGTTCCGGCATTTTCACACGTCATTTGTTCTGGTTGATTCCCACCCACTCTGAACAGCCCCCCCCCTTTGCTTTCTTGTTACGAGAATTCAGTTATCCCTTTTTTTTCTCTCTCACTCCTACTTAAAATCTCCTTCCCTCAAAGGACGCTAAGTCAGTCTACCGTAGATACCTGCTCACCCATGTTCATCACTGCTTTAGTCACAGTAGCCAGGAAATGGAATATTTCTAACAGATGAATGGATAAAGAAAATGGGGCGCATATACACAGCGGAATACTGCTCAGTCATAAAGAAAATCATGACATATGCAGGAAAATGGGTGGAACTTTAGATATTTATGTAAAACAAAATAAGCCAGATTCAGAAAACAGAGCCCAGTGGTGGTGGCACAAGCCTTTAGTCCCAGCACATGGGAGACAGAGGCAGGCAAATTTCTGCGAGTTCGAGGCCAGTCTGGTCTACAGAGCGAGGAAAGAAAGAAAGAAAGAAAGAAAGAAAGAAAGAAAGAGGAAAAGAAAACCAGATTCAGAAAACAAAAACTATAGGTTTTTCTCTCATGGAGAGTGTGTGTGTTGTAGGAGGGTGGGATGGGGATATTGGAAAGACCATGAGAGGGGGAAAGGAGGTGGCACTCTCAATAGGAATCTTCCCATGTCCAAGTCTTTTCTGGAGCTGACCCTCTCCCTGATGAGCTCAACCATGAGTCTTGACAACACCTTGGGTTCAATTCCCAGGCTTCTCACTTTCTGTTGTGTGGCATCTTCCAGGTTATTTCATCTCTCTGATACTTGATTTCTTTCTTTGGGAAACAGTGGGGATGGGGAAAGAAAGTCACGGAATATATCAGGCAGTCCCTTATCTAACCCATTCAACCTCTTAGATGCCTTGGGGTGGGGCAGGTGAGGTGACAATGTTTCTGTCACAGACTTTAGAACCTGAAGTCAGAAGCAGAAACTGCAGAGTGGTAGAGCTAGGACATCAGTCCAAGCCTTCCTGACTCTGGCACTCACCCATAGTCATTATAGTTTAGGGTCATTGCCTTTACCCACCTTAGTGACAGACAGAAGTGCCAGTGACACTTGCAAAGCTGCAGCTGCAAGGGCTGCATAAGGTGATCCTCGGGGATCACAACCCCTGTGTGAAACCAGCCTTCCACAGCCTTTCACAGCTTTTCGGGGTCTTCAACAGCCTTTCACAGCCTTCAGTAGCTTTCCGTGGACTTCCACCATCAGTTCACAGGGCCAAAGTCCCCTGTTATTGAACTCCAAGTGAAATAACTGTATTCCCCACCTCTTTTGCTCTCTCGGACTAGGGCCTGGTCGTGGAGCGCCTAGGACGGAGACCTCTCCTCATTGGTGGCTTTGGGCTGATGGCTCTCTTCTTTGGGACCCTCACTGTGACACTGACCTTGCAGGTGAGACATTGTGCCCATCACTCTTTGATGATCAGCAGGGAGCTGGCTTTATCACTTTGGAGCCTCTGGCTGTGGCTTCTCCTGTAAGACGTCTTTCCAATGGAGCTTCACTCCAGAACACTGGGAGGCACTGGTGATGGGTCCTGGAACTTGGAGACAAGAAATCTGACTTCTGGTGCTGCCACTACCACAGATGAGCTGTGTTGTGGTGAGCAGAAAGCCTCTCTTCCCTGTACCTCAATTTACCTATCTTTGGAGTGGGGGGATTATGTTAGATGCCCCTCCAGTGATTACCTCCTTGCAAAGGAAGCTGGATACTCCCTGTCAGGTGACTTCTCAGTAACCACTCTGATACCTGGATTCCTTGACCTGGAATTCTGGCTTTTCCACTTACCACTCTGCTGGCTCCTCTTGGGACCTAGTTCTACAAGGGAAAGTTGTCCCCATAACCTGGGATGCTGAGAGGAGTAAATGATAGCATGTGGCGTGAGAGGTCCAGGAGTGTGCATGTGTGTTTATGTGGAGGAACAATTATATCCAGTACCCTTACTAAATTCAAGATGTTTCCTCTTAAAAACAGCTTTATTTTAGCCAGGCGTTGGTGGCGCATACCTTTAATCCCAGCATTTGGGAGGCAGAGGCAAGCGGATCTGTGAGTTCAAGGCCAGCCTGGTCTCCAGAGCGAGTGCCAGGATAGGCTCCAAAGCTACACAGAGAAACCCTGTCTCAAAAACAAAAAAAAAAAGCTTTATTTTATGTATATATTTTCCCTGCATGTATGTCTGTGTACCACATGTGCGACTGGTATCCACTGAGGCCAGAAGAGGGTCTCAGATCCCCTAGAACTGGAGTTAAAGATGGTTATGAGCCACCAGGTGGGTTCTGGGAACTGAACCTGGGTCCTCTGCAAGAGCAGCAAGTGCCCTTAACCACTGAGCCATCTCTCTAACCCCAGAGTGCCGCCTTTTATAGAGGGAAAATCCAAATCATAAATGCAAGTAGCCAAAGTTTCACAGCTGGATGATGGCAGAGGTGGGATTAGATCCCAGGGTCTTTATTACAAGGCTCACATCTTTCCCTTCTGCTCCCTCCCCTGCTCAGAGAAAACTGCATTAATCAAGCAATTACTGGGCTGATAAGTCTCGGCATTATTTTCAGTAATAAACTTTAACATTGAAAGTTGGGCATCTTGGTCCTCAGCCAGATTTCCAAACAGTTCCAGAATGAGCCTGTCATTCAGAGGTGGTGCTGAGCTGGCATTTTCTCATATCCAGTCTTACAGTTGCCCTGAGCTGAGTGACTTTGCAGTGTCCTTGGCCCTCTGAGGTTCTGAGAGAGGGAATGGAAGCTGCTCTGGGGTCTACCTTTCTTCTGCCTCAAGTATCCCTCAATCTAAGTCCCACCCAACAGGGCCTCAGAGCTCCCTCAACACCTGCCTATAGATGAGTGACAGGCCCTCTGGACATTCCATGAGTGAATTAGCACTCCACACTAATGGGATGGCAGGAATGTAAACATGGTGTTTTACATAGTAAGAATGTTAACTGAGAGATATTTCAATGTGACAATACCTGAACATTTTCTCCTATGCTTTGCTTTAAACAAATCATTCTATTGCAGTCACTTATACACTATTTACCATCATCTCCTTGAATCTCACATCTGGGAAGTCAGAAGACAGAATGACTAAGTGGTTGCTATTTGCCGCAACTGAGGCTCGGGGATATGAAATGGCCTGTCACACAGATAGAGTCAGAAAAATGCAGGTCCCCTGAACAGCCTTCTGCTCCTTGCCCATTAACATTGCCCCTTTCCTGCAGGACCAAGCTCCCTGGATCCCTTACCTAAGTATTGTGTGCATCTTGGCCATCATCGCTTCATTCTGCAGTGGCCCAGGTAGGACACCCTCTTGCATTGTGCCTGGCCCGAGGGATTGGGTGAAGCTCAGATATCTCCTTGACTGGTGGGGAACTTAGGGCCCAGGAAGAAGCAATGCCTAATGGAGAAAAGGGCTTGTCCCAGCTTTAGACCTTACTAAAGCTTAGTGGGCTGCCTTCATTCTACACCCAAAGGGCAGATACATGCTAACAAACACACCTGCCAATGCTAATGTCCAAAAGCCCAATAATAATTGAGGTGCTGTGTGCCAGGCTTAGGACTGGCTTGTGAGGAATCAACTATAATCAAGGTGCATCTGTGTTACGATAAATCTTTCCGCCAAAAGCCGCCAAGCCCCACCTCCACGTGTGGGCTTTACAGCAGCTGCCCACCTGAGTTAGGGCCCAAATTAATACACAGAGAGACTTGTATTAGGTTCAAATGCTGCTTGGCCAATGACTAGGATTTCTCATCTGTTAGCTCAGTCTTAATTATCATAAATCTATATATTTTATAAGACTTATCTTATAGAGGATGCTTTTTGCTGGCGCCCTCTCTTGCCAGTGGCTCACATCCCGCCACTGGAGGATGCGAAGGGGGAAAGGGACACTTCCTGTTTCTTTTTGCTTAAATATGAGTCTCCTTGCTATGTCACTTCCTGCCTGTCACTTCCACTTCTCTACTACATTTCCCAGAATCTTCTTTGACTCCTAGTCCTGTCTAACTTGCTGTCTCATTGGCCAAACAAGTACTTTGTTCAATAATCAATAAGATAAACATACACAGTACATTCCCCATCACATCTGTGCCTCAGAGAAGGCACAGGGTACTGAGGAGTTCACTGATGATGGTGGCTAGGATGGATGAGTCACTGTTTATCAGCTGCCCTCTAAGAACTTGAAAGTAAATTCCCACAGGGTTCCTGAAAGCTCTAGGGAAGACCACTGTCACTCAGTAGCAGGGGAACTTCCCAGCTGCAGACCCAGCCCCAAGCACCACCTTGCACAACACTGGCTGACTGTGGAGCCAGGATAGGTAGGGCAGAAAGTCAGCAAGTCTCATTCAATCATTTTCTAGTGGTGTATCAACTGGAAAAGCTTGTTCCTCTTGTTGTGCCTCAGTTTCCATGTCTGTAAGATGTAATGTTCTTAAAGGCCTTGCTATTTTTCTGGCCTTGTGGCTGTGCCCAGTAGAGCCTCCCTAAGGCTGGTGCTGAGCGCTAGGTTTAGGGCATCATCCAACATGGTTGCTCTTTCTCCCTGAGAGGATGGTCATAGCCTTGCTTTGCTTTTTCTCTATGTCGAGGAAGACTAAATTGTGGGGCTGGGGTCCAGTCAGTTATATGCTGCAGGGTGTCAAGATGATCCCAGGAGCTCATGAATCAGTCATGGCAACACCTGCCTGTTAGACTTCTAGCAAAGCAAATGGAATTAAACTTCAGTCTCATCTAGTGTTGCTTACTTTCAAGGGCCGTCATGTTGGTTCTTATTTGTGATTGTTGGATGGACAGCATTTGTCCCCTCTCAAGGATCAGGGAACTGGGATAAGATGGCAGAGAGGGACTTGGAATGATCATGGAAATGCCAGGCAAATCAACACATGCACATATACCCACGCTATGAAGGCAGGGTGTTCAGAATAGCAGAAGTAAAAAGGAGGCACTGTGCAGGCTACATTTATGTCCAGTTGACAAAAGCTAGAGTCATTTTGGAATAGGGAATCTCAGTTAAGAAAATGCCCTTCATCACACTGACCTGTGGATAAGTCTGTGGTGGTGTATTTTCTTGATTGATAATTGATATGGACGGGCCCATCCCACTGTGGGTATTGCCTCTCCTGGGCTGCTGGTCCTGGGTTCTATAAGAAAACAGGCTGAGCAAGCCATAAGGAGCAAGCCAGTAAGCGGCACTCCTCCATGGTCTCCACATCAGCTCCTAACTCCAGGTTCCTGCCCTTACTCCTCTCAGTGATGGAGTGTGACCTTAGATCTGTAAGCTGAAATAAACACTGCCCTCCCCAAATTGCTTTTGGTCCTGGTGCTTTATCACAGTAATAGAAATCCTAACTAAGATAGGTACCTACTGGCAGGGCAATGAACTGCCAGGAGAATAAACGCCAGTGCATACTGCAACAACTTGCAGCCCTGAGATGTGGACAGCAGCATTTATAAAGTGCTTACTGTATTCCAGGCCCTGTTTCTAAATGTTTCAACTCTCACAAAAATACCCTGGGAATGTAATTAGTACATCAAGACAGCTGCCCAGCTTTCCCCTGCCCTCTGAGGATGGACCTTAGCCCACGTGTAGCAATGTGGTCTCTAGAAGTCACAGACAGCTGTTGTCCTGTCACTTACACAGGAAACCACTTCATTTCACATTGACGATGGGAAACGCCACAACCAGCAATGCCAACTCACACAATGCAAGAAGGAAGTCCCACTCAACAGGACTCAATAGGCAGTGTTTGTTCAAACTCCAAGAGTCTGACACCTGTAGTTTATTTCAGGCATATCCAAGCACAGCACAATTTGGAAAAAAGTTTCTTGGTGATAGTTACACAATCCTATGTGTACAAAAAAGCTTAAGACATGATTGCATCAAAACTCTTGTAAAGTACAAGTGACATCTTTCATAAAGATAGGTTCTATAGATTATATAGATTAGCTGAAAAAAGCAGGCATATGATAAACAAAGTTCTTGATAAGGGTCTGAAGACAGATAGAAGATAGCTATAGATTGAGGTAAACATAAAAATCGATGGAAGACCATGAGGCCTGGTCATGCAGATGGTACAGAGGTCACCAGGCTATTATTAGCCACCTCTCTTCCCAGTCTTCTGGGCAGAAAACAGGTTATACATCTCTCCCTTTGAAGAGACAACCCATCATGTTTAACATTCTTGGTTTCCTAGTGCTTATCTGTTCTGCACAAGGACCTCTATGTCTCCTACCACTGATGACCAAGAGCTGCTGCCTCTGACCTCTCCTGTGGACCGTCCCTGAGCTACCCACTGATATTAGACCAGGTGCCTCCCACTAACAGTACTGAACATGTAGAATGTTCTCTTGCCTCCCTGATCATCAGTACCATCCTGAGGTGGGATTGGCATGTTGAGTAGAGAAATGACCAGGTCATTTTTTTTCTTTTGGTTTCTACTCTTTCTATCCCAGGAATAGAAAATGGGTTAAGGGTGAACCACCAAATTATTTCTTTCCATATTAACCTTATTCTCAATTTATAGACTAAAAGGAAAGCAGTTCAGATTGATTTCCTGCATCACACAGCTGAGAAATGATGAGTTTGGACTTTCACCATCTTGTCCTAAGACCCATGATCTTAACACTTTCATGCATACCTGGCTGGTAAGCAATAGCTGGTTGCTAAAACTTGAGAAGAATTAGATCCATTCTGAGATTGACCTATAAGATTAAAAACTACTTATATGGCTCAGTGGCTAATGGCATTTACCACCAAGTCTAAGGATATGAGTTAGATCCCTGAGACCCACATGGTAGAAGGAAAGAACCAACCCCCTCAGACCTCCACATATGTACCCATACATAAATAAATGTAATTTTTTAATTACTCAGAGGCCTACACAGAGAATTCTGGATATGGGGAAGAGGCTGCTACTCTCCTTTTCCCAGGATAAGGTTAACCTCCATCTTCACACATCTACCCTGCATGCATCTACACAAGACACAGTTTTGTCACCCCTGTCCCTATGACAGACCTTCTCAGCTGAAGGTGACTCTGAAGAATGCTGATTTTCATAGCTTCCATTGGTTCTGCTTCTGGCCTTGTTCACACTCAAACGTCTGGAATCTGCCTAGGCTTTCGCTCTTAAATTCAGTCCTCCAAGTCATAGTACTTGGTGTTGACGGGAGAGCTTTCATGTCTCAGGGTGTGAAACACTTGGCTCCGCACTGGTGTCCAGAGGAAGTCACCTGCACCCTACAAGTACAGATAAGCTTTTAGTCCTGACCCTTCATCAATGTCAGGTGTTCACTCAGCAGCCACACCTCTCGGGCAAGCAGAGATCTCAGCCACCAGAGGACTGGTTCTAGGAAAGACTCCACAATCAACTCACACTGGCAGTGCCCAGCCCAAGGCCTCAGGAAGAGTACCTGTCTAAGGGAAGTCCAGACTATTGAGAGCTTCACCATCTACCTAAGCCTTCAGGGCAGAGCCCGTCCTAGGAGGAGCTCTCTAGGAAAGTGAGGAATAAGGATGCCGAGGGATACATGACTGAGACCCTCCACCCCTATTCGGCCTCCGCATAAGGAAATGTCAGTAAGCCAGGGACCCACTGGGGGGAAACCAGTGGGTCCCTGGAGGAAACCCAGTAGTTTCCACCAGACAGCTTCTCTCCTGAGCAATCAATTTAAGGAGACCTGACAGGGAAATTAGACAGAGGGAAAGAAAGAACACAAAGGTGGCAGTTTCCTGCTACATATTTTATGTGTGTGCACAGCCCCAAGGCAGCTCAGAGAATCTCATAAACAAGGCAGTTGAAAGCCTTACTTTGAAGGATGGAAGATCTCTACAGCTCATTTCCAGTCTGAAGGCTGTCATGAAGACCTGACACCTGGAAGGGAGATGTGGGCCTAGTGGGGTGGCCAGTGTACCCAGAGGGAGGATGGTCTTTGAGGGTGGGAATTAGGATGGCGATGAACACTCCAGATGATGACGCTGGCACAGTAGATGTACCAGGAGCCTACTTAGCACATGTCTTGTATGAAAGGGGGACCCTCTGCTTGTCATAATGTCCTGGCCCTGTGGAGCCTTTCCTGCAGATAGAAATGATCTGAGTACTGAGTAAAGGACAGATACAGGAGCCTTCCAGTTACACAGGCTAGAGTTTCACAGAGGGCCTAACATCTCAACCAAGCTCTTGCAGACCCCATAGAGGCACCTAAAGGAGACGGGGACAGAGGCAAGGAAAACAGATAAAGGAGTGCCAGCCATGCCCTTGTCACATCTACAGAGAAGAAAGTGGGAAGTGCTATTCCTGACCTG